TATATATATATATATATATATATATATATATATATATATATATATGTGTGTGTGTGTGTGTGTGTGTTTGATATACTCTTACATTTTTTAGCTATGTAGGATAAGGATGTGGAGGAGATGTGGTGTTGTTACATAAGGCCTAAGAGGAATCAAAAGGCCATATTGGTATCCACATTAATGCAAGTTATATAAGAGTTGAAAAGGTAACGATTATGATTGAATAAGTATTTAACTTAGTATGTGATGACATTGAGTAAAGTTAAGTGGATGAGTCGAATGAGCATTCAAGTGTTTAGTAAGGGTTCAATATAAAGAATAAAGTGGTGATTAGGGGGGAGGGTACCATGCACGGGTTTGGAAATATTTATGGGAGGTACCGTCAGTACCCCCAAGGAGCCGTTCCTTATTCAACAATTTAACAAGTGTGGTTGAATGGGCTTAATAAGCGGCTTCACTAACCCGATCCTACCATTTTCAACTCATGCAGTAATCACTTGTACATTATGCATCAAAACTTGTACCAAATCAATTTTGTATATTATTTAATTAGTTTTTAAATTATTTTGTATATTTTTAATATTGTGTAAATTAGTTTTGTATAATTTTTATTAATTTGTGTTTATTTTAAAATAGAAAATTGAGTGGATTGAGTGGGTTGACTGTGTTAGGAAAGATAAGATTTCCATGTGTTGTGGGTTGAGAAAGTTAGAAGAGAGAGGAGAGGGGAGAGAGAAATATTGATGTGGCAGTGAGTTGAGTGGGTTGGGAAGGAATGACTCTCTCCTCTCTTAAGAGTAAATATATGTTTAGTAGGTTGTGGGTATTAAAAGTAAAGTTGCATATGTATTTAATGGATGATGTCACAATCTATTGAATTCTATAAAGTTCAATAGATTGTGGATTTTAAAAAATCTCATGTCGCCGATTATATAAAAGGATTAGTTAGGGAGGGGGAGCCATTCCCTCCCAACCCACTAAACTCACTGTCACATCAATTTTTGTCTCTCATTTTTCTTCATCTTTCCCAACCCACAATACACGAAAATCCTATATTTTCTCAACCCACTCAATTAAAGAAAAATACAAAACAACTAAGGTACAAGTTTTAAAACACATGGTATAAGAGAAAATGAGAGAGAGATGATGAAATGGGTTAGTGAAACCAATTAAACAACCCGTTGAAGAGGGAGTGGTACCGGCGGTAACTCTATTTCTAATTAAGATTTTACCTTGATTGTTTTGTATTTTTTTAATTAAATGAGTTGAAAAAGATAAGGTTTCCGTATATTGTGGGTTGGAAAAGATGAAGAAAAATTAAAGAGAAAAACTGATGTGACAGTGGGTTTAGTGGATTGGGAGGGAATGACTCCCTCCTCCCTTAGACCCCGATGAGTTTAGTGTTATACAAGGAAAATGTCTCTCTCATGGAGTTGTATAGTTCATATGTATAGACATACATGAGGGAGAGGGAAAGAGATTTTATACCTTGCAATGAGAGAAAATATGATGATCAAGGGTTTTGTTGAAGCAACCAAAACCAATGAGATCACTATCACTTTTTCTGTCTCCAAACACGTCATTTATCAAGAAACTTGATCTTGTTGATGGCACCTCCTCCATCAACCCTACAAAATACCCACAAACTACTTTTAAATCTCTCCCAAGAACACGATCAACACCCAAATAATCCTTTAAAAACCCTTCAACCATAACCATAGGCAATTCACTCAAGCCCACCTTTCTCCCACATCTCATCACCACCTGAAACCCTTCAAACCCTAAATCCTCCAAAAAGAATTTTGGCAAAACGGTCCTTCCAATCGAAAACTTTTCCTTTTTTATCCCACAGAAGCATATAAACACCATAATCTTCAACCCCATATCCGTGCTAAATAAACAAACCAAAGGGTAAAATAAGAACAACACTAACCCTCTCAAGACACCACCACCTTCAAAAGCCACAAGCATGAAGTAAGGAAAGAGTGAAGTTGACCTTAATACCCCGCCTTCCACTTCAAACACAAGAGTTGTGTTTAGTAGCTCTTCTGATGTGTGCTTCTCTGCCATGGTTTCATATTTCAAATACTTTAGGCACCTGTTCTTCCTTTGCTGACCCTGAGGGTAACTTAGTGATTTTAACAGAAATTTAAACAAGAATAATAGATGGTGTGACATTTTTCTATCCATCAAGAGATGGTTATTGTTAGTACATGTATCATTTACATAATACATATATTTATACGAGCAACAAGAAGCTATGCCTATCAATTGTACGGCATGCACAAAAGATAGTACGTGAGCTAAATCATTTGAGGTGCACTTGCATGTTGCCCTACACATAAGTGTCAAATCAAAACCACTAATTATTAAGAATAAAAAAAATTAAAAACCTCTTGTCAGACAGTTTGGACATTAGATTATTAATATACATGAATTGAGTGGTAAATGAAATTGTTAACATTTCAACGTCTATGTTTGAAAAATGATTATACAAACAAATTAATCAATTAAATGGACAAATGTATCATTTTAAACCACTTATTTGTTTATTTGACAAAAGAGTTTTATTGGAATATGGATCAAGTAGGATCTTATGAACCACATAAGCTCCAAAACAATAAATGATCGTGTTAATCGATATTCAAGCACGTCGATAGACGCAAATTTTGTGTTTCTCGTTATCAATATCATCTTTTGATAATAGATTTTTTTTTTTTTTTTTTTTGAACCGGTAAATCTAATCTACTCCTAAGCTAACAACACATATTCCACCTACGTCCACGACGGGACTTGAACCCTCAACCTCAAAGAGGGAAGACACCACCTGATACCGTTGGGCTACAAGCCCTTTGGTATCTTTTGATAATAGATGACGTGAAGTTTTCGTTAGATCGAACAACTTTGTCGGATTTGAGTATAGACAAGTCAACCAAACAACGAACACAATGCTCAGCAGATTAAATGAAAGTGCCGCATCATCTTCTTTCGAGAAAGATCGAGGTAGACGTACAAATTGGACTTGTGTAATTCATTTGAAAATTTCCTTTAACAATTAACACCTAAGTCTTTCAAGGCTTTTTCTATTGACGGAGGATAATAAATGATTAATTTGATTATTTCTTTGGTTTGAATTAGCACTTTGTTTTTCTTTTGACTGTCTTTTTTATTTGGGATAACTAGTTTATACCCGTGGGAACCACGGTTATAAAATTAATCAAACTTTTATAGTAAAAACTTAAATTTATTAATAAATTATTTTAAATAAATTATTAATTAAGAGATTTTTTTAGTTATATAAAATTATAATCATTTATTTAAATAAATATGTGAAATTATATCACTTTATAATTTGTATTAATTTTATTTTAATTTTTGTCCTAATGTTATTAATTTAATTTAATTAAAGTGGGAAATTTAAAATTTGAAATTTGAAAAAGAAAATCAATAGGTTTCCAAGTGGTATGCATTAATTAGAAGATATAATAGGGTGACACATGGCAAATGAAGAATAAAATATGCATTAATTAGGAGACCTAATAAGGTGACACATGTCAAGAGGAGAATAAAACTATTCTTTTATTAGAATAGGGAGATGACTTAAAAAGGTAATATATTTTTCGATTTGTACACATTTGGTCACTAAGTTTTTTTTTTCGTTCACATTTACCCCTTCAACTTGTTAAACTGTACACATTCAGTCTTTATGACCGGTTACTCCAGGTTAGCTTGGAAAAATGACTTAATAGGGTAATATATTTCTCATTTTGTACACATTTAGTCCTTAATATTTTTTTGTTTCAAAATAAGTCATTTTTGTTTTTGTACTCATTTAGTACTTATGAATGATTTCTTTAGGTTTTTCTCAGACATCTTACGTGAGACAATCATTGATGAAGTGTGTGGGGTTGTTGATGTTTATGTGTAACGTCTCATTTTCACAACAAAAAATTTTTATTTTTAAATAAGGCAAAAGTCCCTAATTATAAATCTATTATGAAGAAAAAACGTTTATTCCAAAATACATTTATCGAAAATCAGAGTAATATAAGAAACGCGAAATCCTCAATATTGTTGATGAGTGTGTACAATCATGTCTTCGTCTTCCCACGATCAACGATAGAACCTGAAAACATAAACAACTTGGTAAGAACAAAGTTTAGTGAATTTTCTCCAAAATATTCGATACAACAAACGTATTATCATGCATAACGAACCTACACTCACCAGAATGGAATACCTTGACCCAATCAGTTATTGGACTGGAATGCCAACATGCAACAGGTCCAATCAGTCATCAGACTGGAATACCCAGGGTTTGTTGACATGTCGCCTTAACCCAACCGCTCTTCTCGAGCCTCCGTGCCTACACCTTACAGCTGGCCCGCACCAGGTATCTTGGCCTACAACATATAGCAGGACCACCTCAACCTATCCCACAACCATATGGCTATCCCACGTAAGATGTCGTGAGAAAACCTAAAGAAATCATCCATAAGTACTAAATGAGTACAAAAACAAAAATGACTTATTTTGCAACAAAAAAATATTAAGGACTAAATGTGAACAAAAATATTAATGACTAAATGTGTACAAAGTGAGAAATATATTACCCTATTAAGTCATTTTTACCGGCTAACCTCGAGTAGCCGGTCATAAGGACTAAATGTGTACAGTTTAACAAGTTAAAGGGGGTAAATGTGGACGAAAATAAAAGTCAGTGATTAAATGTGTACAAATTAAAAAATACATTAGCCTTTTAAGTCATTATCCCTTTTTATTTTCCTGTATCTCTTTCCTGTCTAGAATCTTGTTAGGTTTTGCCTTTTTAATATACATATTTTATTTTCCAGTGAAATAAAAATAAAAAAAATAAAAAATTAGCCCTGTTAATTATAAAAGTAGTTATCAGTACTAGTGGTGTTATTTTAAGAAGTTGGAATTTGGAACTAGCGGTTAATGGTCTTTAAGTTGTAGCTCAACTAACAATTGTTTTTTTTGCCTATTTAAGATAATGATTACTAAACCGTGTTATGCTAAAAGAAAGTTTTTAAAGAAATTAAATTTTCTTTTACTTTTTATGCCTATAAATTCTTCTACCAAATTAAATTGTGATATGTGTAACATTTAATGTTTATTTAATGAAATTTTAGTATACTAATATGACACGTGTCATTATTTAATTGGATAGGATAGAAAGATATTTAATTTATCAAGTTTTTAAGTTTATTGTCTAATAAAACTTTTCAGTAGCATTACCATCTATCTTCTCTCCCACCGTTCTTTCTAAATAGAGAGAGTATTCATCATTCTTATCAATTCTAACTTATTTGTCACATAAGTTTTTTTTATCTTCTCTTTTCCATCTCTCTCATCTCACAACACATACAAACCTAGGGATGGACCTCGCATAGGTTCCGAAGGTCCCGGACCACTACTCAATTTTGTCTTCCAAAAGGTAAAAAATTTCACCAAAAAAGTACATAATAAAACATACTGATATGTTATTTTTTACACATAACTTGTATTTCTAATACTAACTATGAATAATATATTATGTTAAGTTCCAGGTTTAAATCATTAGTTTTGATAAAAAAAAAATACTAATAAAAATGAGAAACTCCTTTCTATATGTTGAAATATTGAAAAACATATGGTATGAATGAATCCAATCTCATCCCATATCGATGGTGGAAGAGAAAATGAGAATCAAATCTCTTTTATAAAAAAAATAATTCTAAACTAGAAGAAAACAACTTTTTATAAGGTTGTTTTTTAGAAGTTCAAGTTACAAACTTTATCAAACCTAATGTTGCTTAAACTATTTTTTTTAAGCAAAAGCTTTTTTGATTTGAGTTCGTCTCAGTTTGACGGGTTTCATGGGTTTGTCATATGTTGACCGAACTCGATATGAACCCGACCCAACACGAACTCGTTTTCCACCCCCTTTGCAAAGTGCAAATCCATATTTTTCTTCCCTTTCAACACACTCAATTTTCATTTTTATATTTATAAAACTAATTAAAAATTTAACGTCCGTGAATTCAGACTAGGCCTTTATTGAGTAATTAAAATATTCGAATAAGATAATTGCAAATAAACGAACAAGATCATTCGAACATAATATGTGTTTATATAAGGTGATTTATATATGTTATGTACATGAAGTTTCGGCAAATGTTATGGGTGTATAATACTTGTATAAAAGCTTATTTTAAAATTAAACAAATTGTGTTAAATAAACATTTATTAATAAAAGATTATTTAAAATAAATAATCTTGACGAAAGTTGTAGTAGTCATGATTACGAACCCGTGAGTATAAAGAACACAAAAATATGACGTCATATGAAGAAGTTATAAGTTTTTGAAATTTTGCGTTCGACATAGTACAATCATATATGTGTCATAAAATATGAAACGATGATGTATTACTTTTTAGCCAAAGTAATGTAAAGAAGATTTGATGTCCTCATAAATACGAAACCATCGATATAATGAACGTCGAGAACGGAGCCCATATAAAGAAGATATGAATTTCACAAAGTCTTTCTTAGTGTAATCTTTATAGACTTTAAAGTGAAAATGGATTATAAATTAGCTGATAAATTATAAATGAAAGTTGTAGTACACGATGATACGAATCTGTGGATATAAAGAACGTCGAAAATTGAGCTTATATGCGAAAGTTACAATTTTTCAGAGATCGCGAGAATTTACATGTTGAAGGAGACGTGGAACCACCTAGAAGGCGCCACGTGCCAGCATCGGACGCCCTTTCTTCTGTTAGACTCGACGACATGGTCCAACGAGAAAGAGACAAATGACACCGCCAGATAAGAGTTACGACGCCGCGATACGGCATGTCGCGCTTATTAAAAATTGCTATAAATAGTAGTCGAACCCTCCTTCCTTTCTTGCACATTTTTACCAAAATTTCTCTCTCAAACCACTCCCGGACCCCCGAGATCCGACTTTTGAGTTTCGAGCATTTTATCGAGGCGATTGGGCGTTGAAAATCCTGTAACATCCTGTTTCAGATTGTTTGCGATTCAAGACTCGTGGGCCGTA